TGGAGGGTGGGCGGGTGAAGAGTGAGGTGAGGTTATCGTGGAGCGAGTTTGTGTCTTAAGTAGCGAGATAGACTTTTATTTTTAATCGTTGAAGAGGAAGATTAAAATTCGAAGAATGCAGGTTGAAGATGCAAACCTGAATACAGAAGCTCGCGCACTGCAAGTCGGCTACAAGGTTTTGGAAATCATGTTGGCGACTGTGGGTTAAAATTGAAGAAGTAACTTCATCAAAGTCCGGGGATGTAGAGGTACTCTCGAGAGTATGTATGTCTCAGAAGCTCCAGGTAAGCAAGCGAAGCGTGGGGGGGAAGACAATCCCTGATGCAGGTCTCAATATTTGGGGGTAGCTCGGTCAGGGAGAAGGGACAAGTAGGAAGTGAAAGCGGAAGCGAAAAGGTGATGAGAGGAAGAATGGGGCGAGAGATAAAAAAAGATGGAGGAGTATGATGTTTTGAGAGAGAAGCAGACAGACAAGGCAAGGCTGTCGTGAAGCAAGACAGGACCAGGGTCCACCGAGATGCAGTAGAGTAAAAGTCCCGAGGCCAAGGATTACTGTTACTGTCTTGTCTTGTGTAGAAACAGAAACAGAGGCAGAACTGAGCTTAAGTCACCAGTTTGAAGAGGCTAGACTCAGAGAGAAAAGACAAGGATGCGTGTAGTCCGAGTGGACGAGAAGAAAAAAAATGGTGGTGATGTGGTAGTGACTTGACCAGGTTGGAGGCGACAGAATAAAGGGTCGAGTCTATGGGGGGTGTGAGCTGGTGCCATGGTGGTACCTGTGATTGGCTTCTCAGGGGGAACTCTATACTCCCTAAGCCGGTACGAGTTTAGGGGAAGTTGCGGTGCCCCGCGACTGGGGACGGAGATGGGAGCCTCTCCTCTGTCCGCTGAATCCACTAAGTCTGAAGCGACATCCGCTCGGGGCGGAGATACGATATGGAGCTGACTGTATTGTATTAACAATCACACTCATCTCATGAGTGATTACTGTACAGAGATGATCTTGAGTTGTCACAATTTATTATTTCGGTCCCATGTTACATTGCATAACTCAAGGGTCTCGAATACAGTCTGTCGCATATCAAACTTCAACATTCGCGTCCGTAAGGTTATTCATCTCCCCGCGTTACCAAAACTCTATCCAAGTATGTATTGCGATGTCATTGCACATGGCTTTCTTTCTTTCTTTCTAATGCTTAATACCCCCCCTCTTTCAACACGAGTCAACCTAGTTGCACTATAGCACCGCGCCGTGGGAAGTTAAGGTACCAAGTTAACAGGGCGACCGGCATCAGGGCTTGCTTGCTCATCACGATGCAATGCAAATGCACTCTGCATTCACATGCTCATAAAATAAACGAATCGTGAATAGGCTGTTTACAGTTGTCGAGGCCTAGAACAGCACATTCGAGGGTCTCGAAGCCTCGAGCCACATGGTTGCTTCCAAGCCACAAACTCACTGCTCATCCAGTCTCACCTTTTCCTTGGAGCACCTATGACGGAGCTTGCAAGGTAACCCCTGATCATATTATTCATACACTCACAATAGCGAAAACAGCAATTAACATCAAGGTATGACAGCATAGAGCACACCTAGCACTCACTACCTTATTTTATGTCACACATATCATCATTACTCCCACTCACAACATCCCGGATATTCGGAACAAAGAAATGCTAAATAACAGCCATCATCCAAGGCACACTCACTCGTCTTGTAGATCAGCCATGGGCTGTTTCACAAGCCTCAATACATATTCGGTGGTGTGGCCTATTCGTTAGCGAGTGGACGACGACGCGTATTGATCCGCAGGACCCTTTATATGCCCCCAAACAGAACGAATCTTTTGCTGTCTTTGGAGGTGAAAGAAGTCGTTAGTTATGCCCCAACTAAACTACAGTAGGTTGGTGTGGTGATGATCTTCCTACCATGGCAGCAAACACATCAGCTAAATTGAGGGGTAAGTCGCAACCTAACGACGCGGTCAAGACAGTAATGGGATTCTTTTGCCATATGTCAGGATTATTCGGAAAAGTGGTCTTGAAGCATTGACGATGATGCAAAATGGAGGCTGTAAACCTGGTTCTGCCATGGAGATTCTTCCAGCGCTGTGATGTCAGTTTTTTCCAGAGGCGAGAGAAAGCGTGGCTCAAACAGAGGCGCGGGTGAGACAGATGTGCCCTACCATGTATGCCCTAATGTCGATATGTTATGCTTCGTCGAGTCCAGCGCTGCACATCCAGATCTTCAGCTCATGAAACGTGGTGAAACTGTTATTCAGACGTCTCAATATCAAAAGACAGCAAAGCGAAAAAGCTGAGCTGTGTCTTTTTTTTCCTCTTCCCCACAGAGTGTAACCAATGATGCATAGCATAGATGGGTAGGTGAACTTGATCCTCCAATAATGACGGTGTCGATATTATTCTGTCAATCTGCATCACCATAAGTATTCTCTAGGCCTTGATTATTGACCAGACCTGAACCGTTGCCCGCCACAGTGATCATCATCTTTTCTTGGCGCATTCGGTGCAATCGGGGTCCCGACGTACAAGTCCCTGAAAAGTGATGGACGATCCATTCCGCACCATTGCCCTGGCATGATTATGCGGCAGAGGCCGAAATCTTGGTGCATCCAAAGTTGTTATTTCCATTATTACACATGCGTCGTGATGAATTGACGACGTCTTTCTTGTCTATCAGAAAAGACAAACGCTTTCTTCACCTAGACTACCACCATAGTATACAACTAACTGGATCTGATGTGGGCTGCAAGTGGCGGAAGCTAGACGGACGGACTCGACCGATTCACCGACCGGCCGTAATTACGGCTGTCTCGGCTGCCACCCAGCCTTTGTCTTTTTGTCTTTTTTGCTGTTCAAAGATCTTGGTCGGCTTTTAGCAAAGATGCTGCTCCGATGTGTGATGTGATCGTCCTCTGCTTCTGCTTCTGTGGGTAACACGTACCCGTACACTTCATCGTCCTAGTAGTAGTGATCATCACGGGATTCTTCAGTCCTGCGCTTTGTTGGCAGGCACCTTGACCAGTCTTGGAATAGTTGATCGACGTCATCGTCTTTTGCTGTTGCTGACGAGACTGATTTGTCTCAGCCTCCCAACCTCCAGCCTTGACATTTAGCCTCATTAAACATGTACATTGTACTCTGTATCTGTATATTGATCATCAATCTAGTTTCATCGTTTATTTGCCATGTTACTATATCTGGAAACTTGTGACACTTGTCCGTTACGTTTACGACATGTCATCTATGTACAAGCATCTTCAATATTTCATCAATGCTTAATTTCTTTTCGTAACCTTAACTGACGGTCCGTGGAGTTTAAATTGTTTCGTATCTTGAGATCCGTACATAGACCGGCAACTGGGAAAGAGCTCGCGTGTCCACTACATCAAAAGCTGACACAAGCAGTGCTTAACCTCTCCATGCCTCACTGGGCCCGAGCACCGGGGAGGCTGAAAATATTCCAATATTTTGACACACTTGATTCACATGCATATGTCAAAAGAGAACGTGCGTGGGGTGAAAAAGCGTGGAGCTGCAGGAACTCAAAACAGTCTCAGCTCTCACACCGAGCCAACAAAGACTCTTCTTTCTCTCGGTCACCTATTTCGGGGAGCTACCGACATCAGAATTGTCTCGGATTTGACGGCTTCATTAGAGCACACGAGCAAAAACTAATATTATTGACTCCCCACGTGAATACCTACGCTTTTTCGACACCGAAGATGCAACGCCTGGAAACATCCGCGATCCTGGTATCCCTACGATTTCCTATTCGAGACACCGAGAATCTCCCTCATCTTAGGGGAAGAGCTCTCCCCAGCTGTTAAGCTCGGAATTAGTTCCCCGGGCCAATCAAAGGGTGTTCATATGCTTCAAAGCTTGTCGGTTAACTTTGAAGGTAGATTTGATGAGACATTTCGCTCTTCAGCCTTGTCAACGGCAGTTTAATTAGTTCGGGATAATCGCGGGCGGCCAACTGAGGGCAGAAAGTTATGAAGTTTATGGAATAGATGACTGCACAAAGCTCCAATCCAACACGAGACATTTTCAGCTGTAAATACTGTGTGGGCCTCATTCCAATTGTCTAATTAACAGAATATCTTTTGAGCTGCGTGCATTATTAGACTCGGCAGTTTTGTTGCTATAGACCGGGTTTACCAACGGGTTTAATGAGCATCATGTTGTTCTTCTGGATATGCCGCATCACTATCATCAGATCATATGGCAAGTTACTCCCAACACTCTTATCATCTCTTGGCCTGCAGTTGTAGCTAGCTTCCTATTAAAGTTGAGATTGATTTGCTGTGATAGCATGATCAATTGAAAAATCAGCAGATGGATGAATAAACCTTGATACTGACTCACTTACCCTAAACATTCGTGATGCTTCACCCACGTACATTACAGACACTTGAACTGATGATGACGAACTAATTGTGTTTGTCTCCAATTAGTTTGAATCCGTGTTTGCATTTACTGAAATTGTTGTCAGATCATTATTATCATGTGAATTAGCTGCAGGAAGTTGGCACTACTGCAACAAACCCCCACGACTCGGCCAGTTAAGCCGAACTTTGCAGCATTCTTGAGCTCTTTTCATCACATTCAACATATTCCCTCACCATGCATAGCCGATGGCCAATAAGACCATAGGTTCACAGTATGATGACGCTGAGCAAGAATAGTAATTGAAAACCCCGCTGAGGGGCTTGGGCATTTCTATATCAAGCCCATCTTCCTTCACTTTTACTCTTCAACAACACAACTCAATTGCTCAGAATTATCTGCCCTTCACCTCGGAAACCTTTGTTTAACTCACCAAATCTACACCTTTCGGTACGATGTGACCACACATGGATAAGGAGCCATGGCTCTCGCAATTATTACCACGTATCAAGGTAACGTTTAAAAAGAACGCATCCGGGTGTTCAACTGTCTCTATGCTCTGTGCCTCAACCTCAGCTGTCATAACTTGACTAAGGCTTGAGGACGACCAGAGCAGGGCAGTTGATCTGAGAAATACCGGCGAACTTGATCTGGATAATACCAGCGAAAGGACATGCTTCTTGACATCCCCTCCCCCATGATTCCGGGTGACTGGGGAACTAACCATAGCAGTATACCACTTGATCTTTCAAAATGTCGACTGACAAGATCACTTTCCTCACCAACTGGTACCACTGACATGCCATTTAGCATAAGAACTTGGAGTTAACAACTACCAGGCACGCTACGCCCTACCACGCCCCGCTGTACCTGGCCCAAGCCAAGGGATACTTCAAGGAGGAGGGAATCAAGGTTGCTCTTCTTGAGCCCAATGATCCTAGTGTACGTTCTTATAGGGCGATGGATGAAAACAGAGATGCTGACTTGGCAGGATGTCACTGAGATTATTGGAACCGGCAAGGTCGACCTTGGTTTCAAGGCCATGATTCACACTTTGGCTGCCAAGGCTCGAAACTTCCCCGTCCAGTCCATCGGCAGTCTTCTCGACGAGCCCTTCACTGGTGTCGTCTACCTTAAGGATTCGGGAATCACCACGGACTTCCGCACCCTCAAGGGCAAGCGCATCGGCTACGTCGGCGAGTTTGGCAAGATCCAGATCGACGAGCTCACCTCGCACTATGGCATGACCCCCGAGGACTACACTGCTGTACGATGTGGTATGAACGTCTCCAAGGCTATCATCAAGGGCGAGATCGACGCCGGTATTGGCCTGGAGAATGTTCAGATGGTTGAGCTTGAGGAGTGGCTCGCTGCCCAGGGCCGCCCCAAGGACGATGTTCAGATGCTGCGCATCGATGAACTTGCTGAGCTTGGCTGCTGCTGCTTCTGCACCATCCTCTACATCGGCAATGAGACCTTCCTGTCTGAGAACCCCGAAAAAGTACGCTCGTTCCTCCGCGCCGTCAAAAAGGCCACCGACTTTGTCCTCGCCGAGCCTGACAAGGCATGGGCCGAGTACGTCGACTTCAAGCCCGTCATGGGCACAGAGCTGAACCGCAAGATCTTTGAACGTAGCTTTGCCTACTTCAGCAAGGATCTCAAGAATGTTCGTCGTGACTGGGACAAGGTTACCAAGTATGGAAAGCGTCTTGGTGTGCTTGATGAGAGCTTTGAGCCCAACTACACCAACTCCTACCTTGAGTGGACTCTATCTGGAGAGTCCAGTGACCCTACTGGAGACCAGAAGCGCATTGCCCAGTTGCAGAAGGATGTTGCTGCCTCTGGAGGCTTCCACCGTCTTGAAGCTGAGGCTCCCCAGGCCAAAGCATAGGTGTGTATATAGGGCATTAAAGGTATACGAGTTGGAGTCTAGAGCTCTGCCACAGTCATTACGATCTCGGAGGAAACTATAAGGACAATCATTTAATTGAAATTATAACACAATTGCACCAGAAAGTAGCAATAAAACAAGTAGAAATTACTCTTCATCTTTACCCGGATTGTGACTGACACTCGCCTTTAACTGAAATGCGGGCTGGCCACCATGTCAACGAAAACCGTTTCCGGCCGAACGGCATGGCAGATGCCAAGGCGGTTTTCTTGCCGAAAAATGCATACCAAATAACCATTTTTCTGTCGTACGGCTGGGGAGGCAGAATTCCATGTTTAAAAAAAAAATCTCATCCGTGTGCAGGTTATGATGAAGTATAACGTTGTGCTAGCGGCTAAGATTGAGATGAGACTTAAGCTAAGGGAGAAGGGAATTAAGCAAGTTGGATGCCATAGACCTAAGGTAGAAGGTCTGGAGGCACAAAGAGTAATGATATATCATTATGGTGAAATATATTGTAGCGGGCGACTTGTTGACAATCTAGAAAGAGGTGCAAGCTTAATAATAAAAATTGAGTACTGGTATCAGGCGAAGGCTCTAGACATATATAGGCGCATAACACTCGTACTATACATGAAAACAGAAGACATGATGATTATATAAAAAAGTCCTATCATAACTGGATTTGATACTGGCATGCATCATCATGGAGTGAACTCAAGAACATCGTGTGGACTGGCGAGGAAGTTTTCCGGAAGTTTCTCGGGAGGGGGAGCCTATTATCTCCAAGTCAATGTCTGCCTGTCAATTGTGAAGAATGGATGAAGCTTACCTGAAGTGACTTTGCCCATTTCCTGATGTCGTCGTAGTTCTTGCAAGTGTGCTTGGTGTTGAAGTCTGGGAATGCGTTCGGGTCCTTCTTGTCATACCAAACTTGTCCAAGAACACCAGTATCAACGTTGCACATGAGAACCTGTCGGATGGTATCGAGACAATGTGCTACGGTAGTGAGTACAGAGGCATAATTGGTTAGAAAAGACGTTGTGACTCACTGACGTGTAGACGGAAGACTTCGCCGTCATTCTTAAAGGCGTGTCCGCCCATATGTTTGTAGTGATCGTAATTGAAGTATAGACTCTTGCGTACAAGGTTCTACTAAAGTTAGAATTAGTGTTCAATATGATAAGGTCGTCAGTACATACCAGGCAATGGAGGTGATGCATGCCCTCAACATTGACAATGAAGCCGCCACCATGTTCGGGGCTGACTTGAACATGAGCATCAGTGAGACCACTGGCAATGCCATCTTTATAAGAGATAACACCAGGTCGATCTACCGATTGTTAGCCAGTGTCACAGCGACTTGGAGGGAACACATACAGTCGACTCCCAAAGATTCCCATGCCTTGTCGACTTCGGCCGAGCCATTCTTGCGGAACTTGTTCTCTTGTAAAAAGTTGCCATCGAAATGTTGCTCTCGGTACTTTATCGCAACGTCTTTAAGAACAGGCGCTAAAGAGCAATTGTCAGATAGATGGTTTGGGATATTGCATAATGAAGACTTACACCACTTTGTTGTATGCATGGCACATGTTTGATCGATCTCGAGATATGCCATTGAGATCCAGGCGCCGGTGAGTGCTGAGATGAGGACGACTGTGAGGAATGTCATAGTCCATCCGAAACATCTGCATGCTGAACAACGACGCCTTCGAGGAGGAGGGACATAGTGAAAGGACTCTGCGTCTTCATCTGTGTCTTCATGACTTTCGATTTCAGGGTTCAAGAGCGCAGATTCTTGTTCTCGCTTGGGAGCCATGGCTAGTATGGGTGATTGAGGTGAAGGCTGAACAGACGAGAAACTTCAGACTCGAGTATAGGAAAATTGATGAAGAAGAAAGACAAGCAATGAAAAGTTGGGAATTTTATTAGTACACTGACTTAAACCAGACCAGCACAGAAATCCTCGTATAAATTTAGAACGGGAACTGTCGAGCCCATTCACAGGGCATCAATGTGAGCGGCTGACATTCATAGTTCTAACCCAATTCCCACTGCCGATCCAGCCGGGGCATACCTGGAAACTCTCAATATACTTGATGAGGCAATCCCGCCATATCATCAAGAGTCTAGTCAAGAGGCTTTTCGTAGCTCGTACAGCTGCTCGTCAATCTTGACCCAACAGACACGATAGACGAGGCGGGCACCAATCATCCAAAGTTCAAGAGAGGCGATCTTACTCACGTCGACATAGTATACATCGCGATACCACTTTGTGGCGTTGGGAAAAGAAGGCTGAAAGGCTGCTTTCGACCAGGGCTGGATCGTGTCTCTCTGCCTCTCTGCGCACTAGATAAACTTGAATTGTACTAATACAGGAAAAACAAAACCCTGCATCCCTGTCAGTTACAGTTGTGTGTAAGTTGTGACCATCAAGGCTATGGCGATTGGGTTCTTGTAACTGTGAGACCTGTGTTTTCAAGTGCAGGGCTCCGACCAACAGATTTGTTCAATTGGAAGCCACAGGGCTTCATGATGGTGTGATTTTTTCAGAAACGGGTATGGAGTTTGAGTTTTGGAGTAACGTGGGAATGGAATGTTGGAAGGAAATGAGGCTGGCTGGTGTTGACTCAACCCATCCCATGTTCAGATAACGTAGATCCCCCGCATCGGTGATCTGATCGATTAATTAATTGATGATCTCAGCTAGTCAAATGATGATTTTATTTCGGAATGCGAGAGCCGTATATCCGTTGCTAGGTAGTACATTCAATAGTATCTTGGCCATGTCATATACTAAGGCTTTAGTTTGTTGATCCAGCTTATTCCCATCCGTCGAATACATCATGACTGCTAACTGCAAGACTCACTGTCGAACTTATGCACGTTTGGCACCAGCACACAAAGTCTAACGTGCTATTTACGTCTTCGAGTCAAGAGTCCAACGTGCATTAGCTTCAACTAACATGATTGATCACCACCGCTCTAAGATCGTGGCTGGTCCCAATGAGGAAATATGCTGTCCTTCAGCTCGGCAACCTTTACACGCACGCAAACTGGCAAGAAGAGACGTTCTAGAGCTCTGCGAGGCTTACACGACACGACCTCATCACTGGAGAGCCTGGTTCGGTATCTCCAGAGCCGGAGCTAGTCGACGTGGTCGATGATACAAGAGAAAAAGAGTTTCTTAGCGACTTCGCGATCGTTACTCAAACGAACGTGATGGCTTGTCAGTCTTGGCATGGGCCAATGGTGAGCTTTGCACGGTGGTGATCCCCTCCACTTGCTCTCACCTTCAGCCGTATGAAGACGACTTGGCTGACGATGAGCTTGATACGAGGTTGGAATCTCTGCGTTAGACTTGGGACGTGCTAGCGGTTAGCCGAGCTACAGATGCTTCCTCAGACTGAAGATGCTCACAGCACATGCCGCAAAAGCCGACGCCATCATCGAATCCGTTGGGATTGACGAGCTTGAGGAGAGGGGCTTGCCATGGGAGATGGCTTTGGGTCTGCCTGTGTATGGGAAGCAAGGTTCATCGATAGGATCGAGGATGGCCATGTGCATTAGTACGGCGTTGATCCCTCGTCCATAAAGCTGGAGTTCCCATCCCGAGCCATATCTTCTTTTTCTACCAACCTTCACTCACCAACCCATCCTCAGCCTTACAAACTTGACACTCCCGCTCTCAGTTCACAGTCTTCTTGTATCTTCTCTAGACATCAAAATGAAGTTCTCCGTTCTTTCTCTCCTCACTCTTGCCGCTGGTGTCCTCGCTGCTCCGGCTCCAGTTCCTGCCCCTGAAGCTGTCCCGGAGCCAGGCCAGACGTACAAGAACTACGGTGAGTAGTAATGCAAGATAATCTGGAACATGATACTGATAACTAGACAGGATATTATCCCAAGAAGTACTCCAACTATGGTATGTGCTGATCATTTATCTCGAATCTCTTGTGCTAACTCTGGCATAGGCAGCTACAATTACAAGAAGTACTCCAACTATGGGCATTACAAGCGGGATGAAGATGTAGAGAAGCGCGAGGCCGCACCCGAGCCCGAGCCCGAGCCCGGCTACTCTCACTATGGTATGCGATGCCCACTGTTCGTGCGCTTCATGATGCTAAAAACCTCATAGGAAGCTACCCTCCTAAGAAGTACTCTCACTATGGTTTGTGGTGCTCATTATCCTGACGCTGCAGATGCTGACTTTTCCCTCAGGAAGCTACAACTACAAGAAGTACTCCAATTACGGACACTACAAGCGCGATGAAGATGTAGAGAAGCGTGAGGCCGAGCCTGAGCCTGCTGGCAAGTACTCTAGCTACGGTTGGTCTCACTGGTCCCATAGCAAAGCTCTAAAACGTTGACCATCGATTAGGATCATACCCTACCAAGTACTCTAGCTACGGTACGTATCATTGAGCCCACTGCAAATATTCACGGTACTGACAATCGCCCAGGATCGTACCCCACGAAGTACAGCAACTACGGTTCGTGATAATCCCACATACTCACTAATTAACCTAGTGTGTGATAAGTCATGAACTAACACTCTGGCAGGCTCTTACAACTACAAGAGTTACGGAAGCTACGGCACGTACAAGAGAGCTAGTGACTGGGTCAAGTCCTTTTTTTAAGCTGAAATTTGATATGGATTTGAGGAGCACTTTCAGGAGCGAAGCAGAATTGCATTGGCACGACGCACAACTATGTTCATTATGGACGACTTACGATTCTCAACGAGAGACATGTTTAATGGCTGGACAAGATTGATTGAATGGAGTGTTTATTTATCCCGAGTAGGGGACTGTGGGCGAGTTTAAAGATATTCTTAGACTCTCCTTAATAATATTAGTAGCTTTTTGCTCCTTAAAAGACTTATGTTGGTAATAGGTTTGGCCAAGAATATGTAGAGTCCAGTAAAAAGCGGTTTATTGTTTCTTGTTGGCATTTCTATTGTCAACAATCGTCCTGTTAAGTGATCTTACCTGTAGCATACACAACACTGAAACAGGACATGAGTTTCTGCCCATATAAGAAGCCATGTGGGATTGGTGATTTTCAGTGATAAGCTATCGCTTGCGTTGAAATCCTTCGAGATTGCTATTGTAGCTGGATGACAGTAAGCTTACTACTTACTGCCTTATCGGGCTTACTCTCATAGATTCATTGTACGAAACGTTCGATAACATGAAGAATGTGCTTGATTTATGATATTCTTGACTACATATACTCATAATCCGACAGCAGATATGCTGATTTAACAAACATAAGACCATATATACATGCGCTTAGAACAGCCATGAAACAAAAGTTTTGTAGAACCATCCACCACGGTTGGGACCCTCAGCCTCACGTTTAGCAGCTTGAGCAGCAAGGAACTCCTCCTCCTCACGATCGATGACATCCTTGCCGGTGTAAAAGTCGACCTCATGGGGCTTAATACCACGGGACTTGGTGATGAACTTGTGACCAAAGATGAGGATCAGGTAGACAGGAATACCCAAGTAACCTGTGATAAAGGTCTTGACCTTCTCGCCGCCCATGATCTTGCCGGTCTTCTCGTCGCGAACAAAAACGTCGTAGTTCTTGGTCAGAGCGATGAGGATGCACATGGCAAGGGCACCAACAGATCCCCACATGCCGAAGGGGGCGACGTAGGGGAGGGCTTCGTTGGCCAGGCCCTGTGCCTTCTTGGCGCGGCACCAGAATATGTGAGTGGTGAGGATGGAGATCCATGACATAAGACCGAAGATAGTGGTCAGGTTAACAAAGTAGCCAAAGACCTTTGTGGAGTCGTCCGAGACGTTCATGAAGGCGAGCAGACAGAAAGAAGCAGACATGCCAAGGGCGTAGATGGGAACACCGTCCTTGTTGGTCTTCTTGAAAATGGCGGGAGCTGAACCGTCGGAGGCAAGACCGTAGAGGGTACGGCTGGCAATGTACAGATCTGAGTTAGAAGCAGAAAAGACAAAGACGCAGATACAGGCGTTAATGATGTCAGGGAGGACTCGGACACCAGCGAGTGTACCAGCAACGACAAAGGGTGAAGCAGAAGCACCAGCCTTGGCAGTGGTGGCAAAGGCAAGCTCCGGAGAGTTGTAGGGGACGATCATGCCGACGAGGAGGACGGAGAGACAGTAGAAGAAGAGAATTCGGTAAAAGGTAAGCTTAATGGCGCGGGGGATGGTCTTGCGAGGGTTCTGAGCCTCAGCGACTGTGACACCGACGAGTTCGGTTCCGAGGTAAGCAAAGGTGGCGTTGACCATGCAGGACCAGAAGCCGAGGAATTTTCCAGCGTCGCCTTCCATGATATAAGGCTTGAAGGCACTGAAGAATCGTTAGCAAAAGTCAATTGTCGCGTAGAGAATCAGTATACATACCCAGGGTTGCTCCAGTATCGGAAACCCTTTCGGTCATGGTCGGGGCCACCGCCGAGAGCCAGGACGAGAGAGAACAGGATTATACCGATGATGGTGATGACCTTGAAGGAGGAAAGCCAGAATTCGAGTTCACCAAAGAATTTGATACCAAAGTAGTTGATAACGCAGATGACGACGAGGAATATGGCAATAAAGACACCTGGATTGACTGTATCTCGATCGACCCAGTATTGAATGACGAGGGCGGCAGCGGTAAGTTGGTTAGGCGTGACGATGATGTATTTAAACCAGTATCTGGGAAATGTCAGTTATAGTCAAAATCGCATTGGAATTGCAAAATACTCACGTCCAGCCAAGAGCAAAACCGAGAGAAGGATCACAGAATCGAGAAGCGTAACCAGTGAAACCAGCAGACATGGGCAACCAAGCGGCCATCTCACCAAGAGCAGCCATGACAAGGAAGACGACGAAACCAACAAGAGTATAACAGATAAAGACAGAACCAGGACCAGCTTGGGCGAGAGCCTTGCCAGTACCGATAATGAGACCAGTTCCGATAGCACCACCAATGGCAATCATAGTGATGTGTCGCGCCTTGAGGCCTCTGTGGAGCGACGTCTCAGCGCTCGTCTCGAGGCCTCGAATGTGCTGATCTTCGCCGAGGCCGACATCTTTAGTTGGGGGCGATGCGACATCGTAGCCCAGGTCTTTCTTTTCGACGTCGTGGGACGTCATTTTTCCAACACCCGCGCTCGTCTTACGAGGGTTGTTCTGGGGGGAGGAAATATTTATGGAGAAATAATTGAAGCCAAGGTGCCAAGTAAACTGTTGGAGATACCAAGCTTTTTGTCGATGCAGAAGCCAAGAGCCTTGGCTAGATTGACGAAGGGTCTGGGCAGGGACAAGACAAGACAAGAAGAACAGTACAAGACCCGCAATGAATCAATGTTGCACACAAACGAAGACAGACAAGAAAGAAAGAGAAGAAATGGAGGGGAGGAGGGTAGTTAAATACCAACAGGCATTGGACTGAGTGCCTGCTTGTTTTCTCCCAATCTACCGAGAGGGGACTTGTCCAAACTGTCAAAATGCCAAGACAATCTCTCTCATCAAGAGACAAATGATACTACGTACAAGACCAGGCTCAAATTGGAAAGCCCATGCTCGTCCTTCTCACCTCTGATGAAACCCTACACTAGGCGGGCGTCCGAATGAAGATCAATCACGTAAAAGGTTGGTTGAGTAGGGGGAGTGGGTAAACAGTTTAAGCTTGAATATCACCAACAGAAGAACCGAACCTAGGGTCTTGTCAGCTAACCTTGGTAGCTATCTTGTATTTTCCAGCTGCTGCATGTGGTGAGGGAGACAAGGTATGCCTTGCCGCTTGGATGCATTGCATTTGACTCGGCTCGACTCGATTACAATTATTAGATGCAGTGTACCTGTTCATACAACCGGGCGCAGGGCAGAATTGAAGGCTTTTCTCTCTATCAGTTTACGTAGTATGTCTCATCTCTATGGTGATACAGAGCCAAACTCGAAGTGGAAAAGATCACCCTAGTGCTATAAAACGCCCGAGGTTGAATGAGAGAATAAAAGTACAATCTTTCTAGACTACTTCTTAGTGAGAAAGACAAAAAAAATCAGAGATAAGCTTCACTGTGCCCTGAGGCGGTTTACCCCGGTCATGAACGGCCCAAAGAGCCCCAAGAACACCTCGTTGGTGTCCAGGATCTGACGTTACATATACTGTAGTAACGGTGGAAAAAGTTTTGGTATTCTTGTATCCACCGCTATCTAGAAAACTCAGCCACTCCTTTTCAGGAAGGTGAAAAAAGTGTCTTGTCGTGTGCTACTGGACTTCCATGGAACTCTGAGATATCATTCCTCCAAACAAACCCCTGTCCAATGTTTATCTACGGCATGTCTGCGGGGAAAAGGACCCAATAAACTGACATTCTTACATTCAGGGATTGTGAGCATTCTGATTGACTACAAGAGGTACTTTTGGTGGGCACATACAACATCCACATGATCTTTATCTCTTTCTCACGCACATACCAAGAACAGGGATTGTCTTCTCCGCACCGCATATCTATCTCGTTTTAGTCAGTGGCTTTATTCCAATTATCTAGCCTTGTTACGATCCGTCTAATAGTACGAGTGTTAGTTACCCGTAACCCCAAAACTAACGGTATACCGTTACGTTATAAAACCCCAATCCGAATGCAAGCCAACTTTAACTAGATGCTTAATTCTGAATCTGTTACCTTATTATTAGCTAAGGTGAATTCTCCAACTCCCTCAACCCCAGCTTTTCGCCTCCGGGGGAGGAGTCCCAAACTGGGTCCTCTCCGCACTTTGGTTCCAGACTCTAATAAATGCTGGTCTTTGCGTTTGCTTGGCATCAGAGACAAGGTCAAAGAGGCACGGATGCAACGGGTCATTTAGGAAAGTGAGGAAAGTCTAGATGTATACCATGACGAGTGTATAGTTTGCTTGGCTTTGAATTACTGCGCCAGCATGACTAGCTGCCTCTTTGAACCAACATTCTATTACTCAGATCTGTGTCATGAAAATTCATTCTCGGACGACACTGAGACAAACAACATTGACGAAAGACGCCTCAAGAGCTGACTATCACTGCACTGTCGATCTGGAACCCATTTCTCGGGCCTCGGTATCACACCCGTTCATTGTACAGCACAATCTTATCCTTGTGCATCGCATGAGCTGATCAATTCAGCCTAGCATCATGACTTGTTTAAGGTTATCATCAAGACTAGCAGCCCTAAGCTTAGGATAACGAAGGAACTAGGCCCATCATAAGGCATCTATGTCCCTTGAGGCTAGGAACAAGTCTTTTAAAATCATCCTAAAGAAAACTTTGCGGAGATGAAAGCACAAGCCTGCTGTGACGTGAATTGTCGGTACTAAAAGAATACTCCGAGTATCTTTTACAACCCGAACATCATCTTTTGTATGCCGGATCTAATGACAACGTTGAAGTGGAATTGCAGACTCTTCCGTCCTGTTGTGCCTATTGCACCAAGGTATTATGCTGCTCTCTCAGTCATGACGAAAGAAGCCCTTGAAAGCTTCGCTGAATGTGATTCACAATGTGTATCCGGCCATGCCTTAAGCTCAGGTCAAATTGACAGACGTTACCAGCAAAGTCGCATAAAGTATATTTCTTCATTCGATTAGACATGAACCCTGTCTCTACCTCTTCCTATCATGACCACCAAAGCTTCCTCCGTCCGCCGACCCTCCACTCTCCTTATACATGATCCCACAATCTTTGGTCGCTCAGGAAAATGAGGGGGATAGAGGTAGTGCTAGTATTGGATGGGTTCTCCTTGGCGACGTTGACGTTTGTGTTTCAAGGGCTGCTCTTTATGCAAGAACGAAGCGCGAATTTTGACAGTTGGGTATTTCCAGTGTTGGTGTAATAGGAGTGCTGATGCGTTCTACCTATTAGCGTTAATACCAATCTCCCAAGGGCACTTGATGTTAGAACCGAACGTCAATCAAAGTTCACATTCGGTTCTAACACAAAGAGCCTTTAGAAGACTAATACGAACGCTAGTAGTGAGAACGCATCAACACTCCTATTACACCAACATTGGAAATACCCAACTGTCAAAATCCACATCCAAATGCACCAGTTGGTAGGAAACTACTTGCATCGTTCTCCTGGCTTGGGGCTGGTGACTTGAGACGAGACGAGTCGGACTCTCCAAGTTCCTCCATTGCCTTGTCTGACAATTCTTCATCTAACAAGTCTTCGTTGGCAGACTCTTGTTCCTGCGACTGTGCCTTGCTCGATTGTCTTCCACCACGTTTTTTATCGTGGTGTCCGTCAGAATTGGCCCATTGCTGTTTGGGGCCATTGTTGTGATCTCTGCCTGTGGGAACTTAATTTGGGCCCTTGTCCAACATAGTGGTTGAACATCTTGGCAGTTGTATTGGCCTTTTTGAGCCGTTGTAAGAATATTTGATCAAGAGACGGGAGAGAAGTGTGGTGACAAAGCGAGTGGTGTGATGCAACCCTCTGCGTCCGTAACTGGTTCAACTTCAGGATCAGATGATCAAGGAACACTGAGGGCAATGAACCATCTGGCAGAGTGATTGGTGGTGCTGTTGCTGGTTCCGTGTTGGGAGTATCTCTTATTGCGTTGGGCGTTTATTGCGTATTGTACCGACACAGGAAGCAAACCCTCAGTAGGTTAACCACTGAATCACTATGTTCGATCGAGCTGACCAGATGACAGAGGATACTTATTACTATTACCCTGCACATGAAGATATGCAGAGGTCAGATGTTCATAAAATGAACAGTAGTCCAATGGTTGCCAAAGAGGACAGGAAGATAATTTTGTTTTAATGGGCGAGCTGAGAGAGATTGGTGAACGAGTTGAGGGAGGTGATTATAGCCGAACATGATAAAAATCAATCACCCAATTTTACTATATATACATCTGACATCCGCGTTTCCCAGACACTATTCTCAATACTAGTGAGGCTCAACAGGATGTTTCCACGCCTGATATGCAATCCAAGTCTGGTATGAACTAACAGCTAAAGACGCCATCCCCAGAGTAATGGCAAATACCACTCCTATCAGCGTCGCCATCATCACATGTCTCGCTCCACTCTTTCTTTGCATAGATCGTTGAAGCCAACTACGAGGCCGCGGGGTCTGAAGCTCGTTATACAGATCCGCGAGGCGATCAGCCAAATAGACATAAGGCACACTCTCTTCGCCTATGCGCCTAACTGAGCTGACCTCAAATTTGAGAATATCCGGGTCAAAAGAGCACTTTTTGATGAGTGATCGTGCAAGTTTCTTGGATTTAGGATCGGACAGCGGGAAAAGAGTCCCTTGAAGGGAGTCTAGGATTTCGAGGACTAGCTGACGCGGTAGCACGCCCCTATCAAAGTCTTAGTCTGGTTCAGTTGGTAGGATTGAACTGCAACTTACTTTTTAAGGGATGAAGACGGGCTAGAACAGTCGCCGAGATCTCTGGTAACTCTTAATTGTTCTTTGAGAAAAGATGTATAGTGATAAATCTCTAAGACGCCATTTCTCCTGTCAAATAGTAGATGGTTCCGTATGTCCGATGTCGCTCTGATAGTAATTTTGAGTCATCTCTTGAGGTTGACAGCCTTCAGTTGCCTCTTAGTATCCGCAAACAACTCGCTGGTGTGGTAACTGAGGACGTTGTGATTACCAATTGGAAAAGAGTCCTGGATGTATTTACTAAGGGGTACGTCTTCTTTCCAGTGCACTCGGAAAGTTCCCTTTTCTAGCCTGTCGGATGAACGATGGAGGGCTGAAGGATCAATCATGAGCATAGTTTTGACACCAATTGCAATTGCATCGGCTTGGGTGTTGGTGTTGGTGCTGGGAGAAGCTAGTTGGCGAAGCTCTGATAATGTTGCATCCGAATGCGACTTGAGGATAGAAATGATTGTAAATATATCCGAATGGGTCTTAACGTTTCTTGTTGACGTAGAAGTTGCATCGATATATGTTGAAATAACAGCTTCGTAGTATTTCAGGTATCGTTGGATTCGAGTGATTCGGCTACCAAGGCAATTCTGATTCTCGCATTGTACTCTCTTTTCCTCTGTGCAGTCTCGACAGACGTCCCATGACCACAAAGTGATAGCGAGCTGAAGTGCAGAGTATTGGCTAAGGTCGCTACTGATTTTCGCATTCATAATCGTGATGCAAATGAATTTCGCAGGGACGATAAGCGTTGTAAAGTACTCAAAAATAAACAATGGCGCGTTATATGAGAGCCTAGTAGAACGCCTAAAAGAGAGCCTCGAGCAGGGAAATTGATGCGTAACATGGCTTGTCGAGGCGATGCACATGCAGCTTATATATAGTGTTGGGTACTGACAACCCACGTGAGCCAAGCTGAACTCCCCTAACATTTCTCCCAGCCTGATCGTAATGGCTCCTCTGCTGCATTATTTTCTTTAAAGCCCCCCTTGCTCATGGTATCCCACATTGAACTCAATTGGACATGGCGATTTTTGAACATTTGCAGCAGAGGTTCGTTTCCTAATTGGCAGGACGCCAGGGAGATATATCCCAGACCATTACTCAAGATATGGCAGGCACAGGCGAGCTACATCGCAACTTATCAATGCCGAGACTCACGGCTCCTCTACCTTTAGTATCTATATTTGGCAATACACTAGATGCAGGACAGTTAGCAGAACCCAGTCCACCCGAACATACAGCTCCAATCTCGCAACACGAACCTGTCGGTCTTACGTTGCACGGAACACGGTTGAGATACTTCCCCAAGCCCATATCTCAACGGCTCAAAGATCGGTCTTTAGACATAAAGGTTTTATATACCCAGTCGCTTTACGAATCCATCTCGAAAAGGAAGAAGGACCCTGGCAACATTTCGATGAAGCTCAGACATCTAGGCCTTGATTCGCAGAACACTGCACTATACATAGACATCCAGTGCGAAAAGAGGGTCGCAAAGAAAGTCAGAAGATTCTTTGCACAGGAGCACGTGGAAGAAGAGCTTTTACCAGACTTTCGAGTCTTGGTCTTGAACAACCCACCTGTGGAAGTTGCGAACGACGACGCGATAGATGTCTTTTCCGACTCCCTTCCCGACAAGACAATGTGTGGAATGTCTATTAAATTGAGCGGGGGTGGCAAATTCGTCAGCTGTACTCTCGGTGGGGTTATCGTTGTTGAAACCGACCAGACACGTTTGTATGGACTCATAGCTGGGCATCCATTGAAGAGAATTCGAGGGGAGCCTTTTGACAAGCGACAAATGTACGAAGCTTATGGGTCATCATCGTCGGAAGAAGAAGAAGATTCAGACAGCGACGACACCTCTACAGACAAATCGGTGATACCTTCGAAATCGGTACATTCCGATATCGAGAGAACTTATAATGACGTTCTTCTGCGAACAAACTTCAGTATTGGGACTGTTGTTTGTGACTCTTTCAGTGTCCAATCAGGAAGAAACTGCGACTGGGCACTCGTAGACCTCAACCAGGAATATGCGTTGCCGAATGTAGTGATTCCAAATGAACAGCCTCAAGATTCTAATTTTCAAGATGACAAACCAGAAATCACCCTTCATTACGAGTATCCTCCCTGGACAGCCCCCCCAAAGCAAGTCTTTGTGCTAAAACAAGGAAAACCTTGTATCGCCGAATTGTCCTTCGATACTTCTTCACTTATGATATCCCCTGGGTCGACATTCATTGATAGTCATGATGTTATTATGAAGGATGGCTCCTGTAAGTATACAGCATTATGTATGATTGCTGCTACCTCTAACATTAATTCAAGCATTATGCCCTGGCGATTCTGGTCTATGGGTGGTAGATACAGAGACTTCGGGCTTGTATGGGCATGTTGTCTCCGTGGATGCGTTTGGGGAAGCCCAGGTGATGCCTATTCATCCCACCTTTGAGAGCATCAAACGGCAGATGAGAACAAACCGAGTTTTCCTCGCCACAAGTCTAGCTGTTAATCAGCTGAAGGGTGATCTGCAGGAGCCACATTCTTCCGCTCTACCAAGGCTAAATGCACCAGGATTGAGACCGACACTTGAGTCGATTGTGCGTTCAGAGGAGGACTCTCTACAAGACAAATTCCCACGGGGGACAATTCCTCAACCTGCCCAAAGCATATTCGTGGAACCTCGTGCCCCGTTTCCCCCACTACAACGCAAGAGGTAGAGGTTTGATGATATGTCTGTCAATACCATGCATAAAGTCAGCAAAGTCTTCCAAAAAAGAAAAAAAGACACATACCACACTGGATCTTAGAAATTTGGACTAGGTATCAAGTGGTTGTATCGGTCTTAGAATATTAATAGCTATGGCGATATTATCCTCGGCAACGCCGATGATGTGCAATGGGATGCCAAGAGTATATTTATGAGAATTGGATGTGGATGAGGGTGATCTTCATCCCAAGTAAGCATTTTCGCCCTCCTCAGGTACAATAGAGCTCGCCCACAGGAGTCAAGTCTGAGAAAAATAAGTCGACAAACTGTGCAAGCAAATGTTCTGTCAACCGCATCCGAATGGCGGTTTTCTTTATGATCTTGTGGATCGAGAACGGTGGGAAGAACGAAACGTATGGGACATTGTCCAATGACTTTCTGGACGACTGACATATATGCCACAGCCAGACATCTTCAGACGACTGGTAATTCTGTCCGTGTTAAAAATATCGCGTGGGCGGGGCGTCTAGATCAATGGAGAGTTAATGACAGCATTGCCATTCATGAAGAATAAGAGAGACATCGAAGGGCCATATTAGGTTGGCTACCCTTCTAAGTAGAGTTTCCAGGAGCGCCTTCAGTCAGAAGAACCTACAGACGATATGTAGGGATAGGAAATAGATCAGAATATAATGAGGGTTATCGGTGCTGCTGACAAGTTTGTCAAGCGTCTGCTGATAAGCTGTAGTTGACATCGGCCATGTTCTGATATTGATAAATTTCCCACAATTGAATATTGGCTTTGAATATAGACGCAATTGTTTGCTCTCTCTAGCACATACGACCACAGCTCGCAGAAAACTCGGGATCCCGTCCGCTCTCCCATAGATAAGCTGCGAAGCGCTGGATTAGTAGTTGGGTCGGTGACGACCAGCGAATCCCCGGTGTTGTATGTTTTTTTTTTGGGGGGGGGGGGGGTTTTGCCACTATCGCCAGCACTTTTTGTTCCCAAGCCCAAGAACATAACACAACGTACCGGCTTGTTGAATCCTCTCACTAACTCAAAAAATAGATATGTATAGAAGTTGTTTATTTATTTTTAGTATGTTGGCATGTTCAGTAGGATGCAGGCTAAATGATGACTGCTTCGTGTCGAACCAGGTAAAGGGTTCCTTTCTGATATTTCTATTGATGTCCCAAGTTTTGTCTTGCGAGTAACATACGGGCCAGCTCTGTGCGACAATCTCTTTGGTGTATAAGTATATTCCTGGACCGCCAAGTTGATGCATGTCCTATAGAATCCCATTTCGGTAAGAAAGTATAATAATGATGGAAATGTCGTGTTTCCTATCGTCTTTGTTCAATACCTCGAAAATAGCAATTTCCTTGCTCATCAACTCAAGGACTTGGCCAACTTGAAATCCCACCAAAGAGACTCCAAGAGTCTGTGCTTCATCTCGCGAGTTTTTGTCTTGAACAAGTCGGCTATCTCAACCAAATATCCTGAACAGATTCCCGACGAGTCTATATAGAAGCACCATGAGCCCATGAGATCCTAATCCTGGGCAACATTTTCACTCGCTAAATAACTACAATTTTCACTCATTACAATGAATTTCAAGTTACTTCTTTTGACCTTCACCTTCGGTGTTTTCGCTACCGAGCCTGAACGACCATTCTTCTTCTCTTCCCAATTCGGGAAACCCAACCCAACCATCACCTTCAATGACACAAATGGCACATCCCATACTCTCTCCAACAATTACTGGGAATCCAACTACGCCGCCATCCAGGCCAGATCCAAGCTAGAGACCCGCTTTAGGATGGGCGGCTTCCTTGACAAGTACAAAAACGTCCGCTATTACCTCGCCAAGGTAGACGACAAGAACCCGCACAAGAACGGGTATCACAACGGCTATAAAAAGTCTCCCTAGCTTGTGGCTGAATGCCTAGACAAGAACGGGAACTACATTTGTACTTGGCTGGAACTGGGCAAATGTCTCGTCAACCTAGACGAAGAGCTAGCTATACCAGGGTAAAAAGTGAGTCTCAACGTGTGAATATCTTTGGAGACGATTGCTAATACTTAAGAAACAGCGGCAACTTTCATGAATCTTGCACCCAATGCAACATCAGAGAAAACGGCCGTTGGTTCAACTGTGGCTGTTGGACCAAGTTACCCAAGGGCACCATTCAATGGACCGACATCAAGGAACGTTTAAAGAGAACGACCATTGACCTGAGTAAGACGCTCTCCCTTTCATGTTCGAGAATTTATGCTGACATATATTCAGACGTTGCCATTGGAGCCCAAGACGGGTACCTGTACTGTCACGGAAACTGGGGATCAAAGACGTTTGCAGCGGAAGACCTTCGAATGATCCTTTCTCGATCAAGTGTAATGACAGTGGCATGGAGGCGTACTGCTGGCAGTAGAGCGTATGATGGGGGTATTTGCGTATTATTCTTCGTTACATTCGTTTAAGACAGTTTAGTTATCGTTGCCCTTTTCAGGGTTATTTTGGAGAATTGCGTTGAGGAGCGTATCACCTCAATTCAATGGATACATTTCTGGTCTTCTGTTTTATCAGATCAGAATATCCAGTGTCGACTCACCTCTCTGTTGTCGCCATCTGTTGGTAGACTCAACCAACTCAGGACAACCCTTCAATAACCATCCCCATTTCTTGAGAAATCCCACGCTCACCTCCCAACTTGCTGCATTGTGTGATTCTCCCCAGACAATAAGATATGCGTCGTCCAAGCCTTGACTACACGTAACTCCAAGGATATCAAAACACAGTTCATCCTCGTCGATAATACCGCCCGTATACGCCCTTAGCATATTATCTCTTAATTGCGGAATGGGTAGCAGGTCAACCCAAGGATGATGTTCAATCTCGGTCTGTAGCTTGGTGGGATATAGAGACTCAGGACATGAGAGAGGAGTGGTGGTAGATTCTAGAGGACCAAAAGTCTGGATGCTCCATGGAGACGTCACATCGTCGCAGCATAAGCCTTCAAGTGGAATACCGATGTGTAAAGCATTGTTTGAGACGGCATTAACGGCATTAAGACGAATAAGTGAGGGTAGTATCGCAGGACGGTGAGAATTGAGACTGTGTTGCACCTGGACGAGTTGCACGAAAGCATAGGCTATCGCACGGTCGCGAGGTGTCGGCAAGATGAGGATACCTTCAGAGGTTGTTGCCGAGTCATCGTGGGTACTATCCCGAGCTTTCCGCTTGCCTTGACAATGTCAGTTTCATGATATACCGCCTTTTGATTATACGGTGAGTGGTTTGACTGACGATAAGCTCTTTGGTTGAGACGATTTTGTCGTCTCCTCCTGTCGCTGGAGTCAGTGATGCCCATCCAATCATCCTCTGGGTCTCTCGGCTCCGATAGATTGCGGCATTGTTTGCGCCGCGTGAGGATCGGAGGTTGTTGGGTAAGCAAATCCGGATATCTCTGTTGCGGTTGCTGCGGCATTGGTTCGGCCATTCCGGAGGAGACGGCTTTCTTACGTACAGAGTGCGATTGACAAGTAAGTGAAGTGGTCCCAGTATTGCGTCAAGTTTTTTTTCTCGTCTCTATTCTGCTGACATGGAAACGTATGTAAACTCCGAGTTGGAAGAAAGAGAAATGTCGATAAAAGTAAAATAGGCTTGTCGGTCAGCACTCTAAGAATAGTCTGCATGGCTGATTACTGACCCGAGCCATCAAATTGAATCGTCTCATGTCTCAATATTCTTCCGAATTGATAAGATCTAAGTACTACTGTGGATCTCCCATGTGGGAATAATGAAGCTAATGCAACCTGCTGACATCAATAGACCGAAAAGTCTGAACAAAGATCCCAGCAACTATGCTTCGACATGGACACTCAATGCTGATGTCAGACCTTTATTTTGATTGGATTTTGATAGGTGAAACTGTTTGTCGCATATCAAAGTACGTACATAATTTGCCTCTGTTAGATCCATAGATAGGATATTCCAGAATTATGGTCTACGTAATTCATCACAACTACCGATGAATCTACCATGGAGAAAACCTCGTGGCGACCCGCTTCTCTTCCTTGAACATGACATGCATTCCCCATCCGGCCCAATTTCCTCTTTCTCTTTGGTTGATGATTAGTGGGCAAACGAGGACACTCTGACCAACGGCGATGGCTTCCTTTTTTTGCTCTACTCAACATTGCGCTATGCCATGCTAACTCCGATTATATCCAGATCTTAATGCTGATAAATTCACTATTATACTTTTTTTCTATGACGTTGTGGAGTATCGGATCCGAGCTTTGTCTTGCCTTGGTTACTTGTGGAATTTCCACGATGGACTAGAAAAAGTCTAACAGTCTGGCAGTCATGATAATTATATATAAAGAGTTGCTATAGTTCCCAGATAATTTGTATATCTTAATTGAATCATATTACTCATACTCAACTCTCTCATCAGCCTATACAATTCTTACATACACACACCACTCTCAACTATATATACAAGTCTCACAACATACACACTAACTCATACACAATGGCTGAATACGAGTTCAAGGGATGGATGGGCCGTGACGCTGAGTCCGTCAACGGAAAGATGGAATGGGGTTCTTTCGAGCCCAAGAAGTGGGAGGAGAACGACGTCGATATCAAGATCACTCACTGCGGTATCTGCGGTTCTGACCTCCACATTCTCCGATCTGGCTGGGGCGAGACACCTTTCCGTAAGTCAATTCAACGTCTTGAACTCTGAGCATATACTAACAGAAACAGCCTGCTGTGTTGGCCACGAAATCGTTGGCAAGGCCGTCAAGGTCGGCCAGAACGTTAAGAACATCAAGGTCGGTGACCGCGTCGGTGTAGGTGCCCAGGCCCGCAGCTGCCTCCGCGAGGACTGCATTGAGTGCTCCGCCGGCCGATTCAACTACTGTGACAAGATGGTCAGCACCTACGGCTCCGTCTACCCCGACGACATTGGCAAGTCTTACGGTGGATACGCCGACTACAACCGTACCGACTCTCGCTTCGTCGTAAAGATTCCCGAGGGTCTCCCCTCTGATATCGCCGCTCCCATGCTCTGCGGTGGTGTCACTGTCTACGCTCCTCTCCGAAACAACGGCTGCGGTCCCGGAAAGACTGTCGGTATCGTCGGTGTTGGTGGCCTGGGTCACTTCGGTGTCCTCTTCGCCAAGGCTCTCGGCGCTGACAAGGTCGTCGGTATCTCCCGCAAGGCCTCCAAGAGGGATGAGGTTCTCGCTCTCGGTGCCGACTCTTACATCGCCACCGACGATGATGAGGGCTGGGCCGACAAGTACGCCAAGACCGTCGACTTGATCGTCTGCACTGTCTCCAGCAACAAGATGCCCTTCAGCGACTACTTCAAGCTCCTCCGCCACGGCGGCAACTTTGTCCAGGTCGGCGCCCCCGACTCTGGTGAGCTCCCTCCCGTCAACGCTTTCACTCTCATCAAGGGTGGCTTCAAGCTCAGCGGTAGCCTCATCGGTTCTCCCGCCGATATCGAGGAGATGCTTGAGCTTGCTGTTAAGAAGAACGTCAAGCCCTGGATTGAGAAGCGACCCATGGAGGACGCCAACCAGGCTATTATCGATATGGAGCAGGGCAAGGCTCGATACCGATACGTTCTCGTGAACCAGAAGAACATTGAGTAAATGCGATTATTTTAGAGATACCAAGATAGAGATAGAGATACACTTGTACAATAGCGATGACGAATGACCAAATAGAATAATCATTGGCAAACAACAACCATTTCTTCATTGACCGTAAATTAAATACCACTACTTCAACACAAAGGCATCATCATAAACTTCGAGTCTAAATTATTAAAATACGAGACGAAAAAAACCCTAAGATGGATAAAATTTCTAAAAGGGACCCACTGGTTTACGTGAAGCCATCGTGGTGGTCATCTCACCAAACACACCCAACAACAGCCTCTGAGCAGAGGATCACCAATTAATGTCAGAAAATGAGTATTAACTTAAGATCTAGCTATTCATGATAAAATCACTCACTCTCACGTGATACCCCTCACTCCACGCCACGTGCCTTCATAAAATCCACCATATCGAAGAAACTCTTCTTATATCGCCTCTCCTGCGTCGTCCTGTTCACTGTTTGGATCCCAAACTGAGCAGAATAATCTCCAAATTCCCAATTATCACTGAAAGACCACGCATAGGCTCCTATAACTTCAACTCCGTCTTCCCAGATCGCCTTGAGAGTCTCGGACAAGAAGCTCAAGTAGTAGATGCTTCGGGGTGTATCAAACAGCTGATCAGATAGCTCCTTCTCTGCCTCGCCGAAAACAGGGAAGCCAAACTCTGTTAGAGCTACGGGGGTTCTCCATGTGTTGTGCAGATAGTTGAGGTAGCTTCGGAGGTAGGTGGGTGTGATGTACACGTAGCTGTAAGACCGGTAGCCGATGTTCCACCCGTTGACGGTCGTAGTAGTTTGATTGACGCAGTACGGTCGGAAAGTAGAAGATGAGTTTGATGCGCATTCTAGAATACTGTCCTTGTCGTCTGGAACAGGTGGTGCGATAACCGTGGCAGTATATGGATCGATGCCCATAAAGTCAGCCGTGCCGCCGATGTACTTGAGATCTTCCTCGCTCAACGGGACAAAGTCATCAAAAGTCTTTTTAAATGACTCGGGGTAATCTTGGCCGAGGTAGATAGGATTGCAGAAGGGACCGAGTTGGATTGAGTTGAAGTGGTCGGCAGCATATACATCCACCTCACTCTTCGGATCCCGAGGGACACCAAAGTTATTGTTGAACTTGAGCGCAATCTTTCCCTGTCCGCCGAGTTCTTCCTTGTACCAGCGATAGACTCTAGCATGAGACTTGACGACATTGTATACTGAGAGGGCATTGTATGAGTAGAGAAGTGGTTCATTGTAAGTGAACCAGACAGGGACGCGATCAGCATAATGACTCATGACGACCTTTGCATAGTGAACAAAAGCATCCTGGAAAGTCTCATTCTGGTAACCACCGTTCGTGTACCCGATTAGAGGCCTGTCTGCAGCTTTTGTGAGGTTGCTTCCAAAGAACTGAAGAGGAGTGTCGAAGTGAAGCAGGGTAACTTCTGGCGTCATTCCTTTTTCAAGAATGAAGTTAATCACATCATTATAATGATCGATTCCTTCCTGGTTCACAGGTGTACCGGGTAACGCGAAGGGCAAGATTCTCGTCCATGCAATACTAAATGAGAAATGCTTCGCGCCCATGGCAGCGACGCGCTCGATATCTTGCTTGTAGTAGTAATAGTGCTCGTTCGTAACGTAATCCTTCGCACGATCAGTCTGGATAAGAATATCCATAAGAGACGGCGCCTTGCCCTCCTCAGCAGTAGCACCCTCGATCTGGCTTGCAGAGCTCGCAACACCAAAACTAAAGTTCTTTGGGAAGTTGTAGCAGTCTGAAGGACCGAAGTAGTCTCGCGGCGGCAGAACAAGTTCGCTGCTGGGAATGGGAGTGGGCGACACGGTAGTGCTGAAGATACCCGTTTCAGTAAAGTTGGGAGGGTTTGCGTGCTCCCACAAAGCAGTCCACGCAGCTTGGCCATACGGATCATTCGTGTCTGAGGCTTTAGTGGTAGCATTGGGGTTCCATTTTCCCCATGTAGTGAATGACAATGAAGGTACGAGAGAGATGAGAGATTCTGGTGGATCGGCGTATGTAGTTGTGGTAGTGGGCGCAGGTACCGAGGTAGCGTATCTCACAGTCTCAGTAAGGGTGTAACTGAAGGGTGTATATGTGTATTTTGGCTCTCGTGTCTCTGTAGCTTTGCATTGAGGACGTTCTGTAGGGCCCTCAGCCTCATTGTAGACCATCTGGCCGAGAGCCAGCGATGCAGAAAGCAACTGCAGGACAGCTTGTGAGGGTGTCATGATAGGCGATTAAGAGACACGCACTTGGCTGAGAATGAAATCATACGGAATATGTCACGATATATATATGCTTTAGGGAAAACCTTGTAGAGTAGTGAGAGTATAGAGACGAAATTAGTGAGTCAATTTACAGCATTTTAGACCAAGCTTTAGGCGATGTATTTTTGACTCTCCCAGCTCAGATGCAGCATCGTATGTCCACTTCCCTTCTCATGTCATGAATTCCGCGATGTATTCCGCTGTATAAGTCGATCCCCAGGTTTCGGACCGATTGAAACCTGTTTAATTGAGTAAAGATCGCGGGGAAGATGCGGGGTGTAAGTTCAAACGGTCATATCCTAAGCCTTGGACTCTCAGCTCTTCCCACTTATTCTCCAGAAATCAGTACGGATTGCCTTTTCAAGGTAGCTTATTTTTGTCTTTTTAGCTCTATGGTTCAAGTCGGTGACGATATCAGGTTGTGAAGGATACGATGATGGCGTTGTATTGTGACGATCTTCCCAATTCGTGATTTGGAGGTCCAGTTAATATGTACCCCAGACACGCGATCCAATAGAGTCAAGATAAGAGAATGCCGATGATGAGAGCCGTTATTAATTACCCATGCATTATTTCGCCGAAGAGCCACTTTCGTGACTGATGTATCGGGATGTGGAGGAGTGTCTTGAACCTGCATACAGTCACCTTCACAGGTTATAAAGGCTAATAGCTAGGAGGTAAAAGAAATTAACCTCTAAGATTTAGGGCATAAAAATAAATATCCTAAAAGCCTAGACTAAACAGCATAGACTAGTTTACTAATTTCGTCTCTTATGCTCTTAGCGCCTAGATTATCTGATACCCTGAGTTGAGAATCTCAAGTAAAGAACCCATGCGTACTAGATGGGGCGAAGTTTGGGATAAATACAAAGGGTAAGGAAGCGAAAGAGTAAGGTGTCAGTAAGTAGCGAAACTACGGTATCAGTTAAAGAAGAAAGGGCATGGGAGCAGAAGGATCACTGAAAGATCTGGAGTAAAGAAAGGCGCTTTTCGCATATGATACCATGAGGCTCAACCCATAAACTATGTGAACCACTCACCTGATGACGTCTTCAAGTGGACTACACTATCATCGTAGATAGTCAATATCTTAACGATATCTCCATAAATATGGGAATTATTAGAGGCTTTTACGGCTTGTTCGTCGCCTTTTTAAATCACATCTTGGTCATCTTTCAATGATCTGGCAGCCGGATATGTTACCCAGAAGCGAAGTGTCATAAATATTTGGAGCAGATATGATCAAACCAAACGTATATCGCTGTCATAATTTATAGATCTCATCTCTATTCATCAGCTCTTCAAATCATGTTATTACTTATTTGTGATCACACATGGACTGAGCTCGCCGTTCTAATTGTGTTCAAGAACTGGATAATTACATACCCCGCAATTTGCATCACGACTTGAATAGCTTCCTCCATTACAAATACACAACATTACCGTATCTTGAAGTCGCTTGGTAAATACTTAATACACCGACATAATGCCCCGTTCAGACGAAGCACAAGCCTTCTTCCACGCTGTCTACTCAGCCGTCCAAGAAATCCCCTATGGCAAGGTCACTACATATGGCCACATCGCCGCGCTTGTAGGAACCCGTGAGTTCACTTCACTTCACCCCAAGCCCCTACATAATCTGATATCATATAGCACAAAGACCTCGTCAAGTGGGTGTCTGCCTAAAACACCTCCCTGCTGATCCATCCCAACACTTCAACCATGACAATGTACCATGGCAGAGAGTCATCAACTCCAAAGGACAAATATCACCGAGGTAAGTCAACTCCTCAGCCTCAAAGGCCATGACTCACTCTATAGATCTCAACCAGGAGGATCTCGCTCACAGGCCGAAGCTCTTGAAGCCGAAGGAGTAGAGGTAGAAACAAATGCCCTCGGCGAGCACTCAGTAGACTTTTCACAGTATGGATGGTTTCCAGAAGTCCTCCCATCAGAAGAGAACGAAGCAAGCGAATGATTAAAACGGTTTTGAACTAGTATTTACCACTATCGATTTGAGACAATAAGGTCCCGTGTATGTAATGTAATGCGACCCTAATTAGGGCCTTCATAAAAGTCGTCCCATCTTCCGCTCATCCTTCAATAAAAGTCCACCCAACTTCCCTATAGGGAAAAAAGTAGATAGGGGAAAACAGAGAAATGACACATGTACAAAGGCAGAACCCAAATAGCAGACAGTTTTGCATCGAGCCGCTCGTATAAGTCAAGATTTCTCGTCGAGGCAAGAAAAAGAACAAGTGAAAATAAATCCTCCCAAACTCCTGGCCAGTGCTGAAAAATTGGTTGGGATGCCCGACTTGGGATGCCCGACGGAAGTCGCCAGACCGACAATAAACTCGAAGGGGGAATATGGTGAACAACATCAAAGCAAAAACGTGGTGACACATAAAGGCGTTGCAAAAAAAACTCCCATCCCAATCAACCCCCCGTTCTGAACGTATCCCACAACTGGCTCCAATGCGTATCGCAAAATCGATTCGTCACAGTAGCCACCTTAGAAGCAGTTCAGGCTTCCCTTCTTCTTCTTGCCCTTGTTGATGGCGTTCATGCGCTCCTCTAGTTGGCGTCGAGCAGCTTCGGCCGCTTGTCGCTTCTTACGCTCCTCCTCAACGGCTTGGAGACTCCAACGATTATCTTGGACTGGCTCAGGAGGTGGGCGATCCTTAAGCTCCTTGACCTCTGCCTCCAGCTCACCGGCACGCTTCTTCCAGGCATCACAATCGGCCTTAACTTGTTTGGTCTGCCTCTCCAAATCGGTGAGTGCCTCCTCAAGGGTTTGAGTAAGTTGGCGCTCTGCAGTGAGGTGCTTCTCGATGGTTCGGATGCGGGCCTCTTGGTCCTCAGTGATTTGAGAGATGTTGATGTTATCTTTGCTCATTGGACGTCCAGCGGTTGGAGAGCCGGGAGCGCCGTTGACGGGAGATTGGGCACCATTTGGCAGGGGAGGAAGTGGGATTGCCGGTGGGGGTGATGGCAGAGAAACGTGAGATGCACTCTTGCGGATGGTTGAGTTGGAGTTTGACCGCTGAATGCCAGCTGCCACTTCATCCATCTTGTTCTGTTCAGAGTCAGTAAAATCCGTAAAATATTAATGCAGCCTAAACTCACCTGAAGAGCTGCATAATCATGCTTCAGAATATCCAATTCAGCTGTCAGACGTGCAGTGGCTGCGTTGGCCTCGTCCAATCTATTGTTGCGTTCTGTCTGGAGAGTACTCAGACGATTGTTAGTGATCTGGACTTCATCAAAGTTGTTCTGGAGCTGTTCTTCCAGCTCCTCGACCAATCGGCTGTTCTTCTTGCTTCGATCGTCAAGATCTGTCATTCTTTTCTTGGCAAGCCTGATCTGCTCAACCAATGGGCCAGAAGCGGCACCTCCGTCGAGCATGTCAGCTAGAACCGTCTTAGCATCTTCAAAGTCTTTCATGATCTGCTCATTGATAGTTGTAAGCTCAGCGACTGATGATTCGATTTCGCTTCGCTTAGCTTGCTCTGCATCAAGAGCCTTCTTGCTGGCGGCGAGCTCATCGATACGCTCTGCCAGCTTATCAACACTGGCATCAAGACCAAGAGCGTTAGCAACGTGGGTAGACACGCTGTGGAGTTCATCCCTTGCATCGGCAAGTTCTGTCTCAAGTCTAAGGGCACTCTCGGCGTGCTCGGACAACAAAACCTCAACCTGCTCTTCATAGCCCTTCTGCTCGGTGGTCTTCAGATCAGCCAGTGCCTTAGAGTGCTGAGTCTTCAGCTCATCGAGACTCGACTGATTGCTCTGTGAAGTCTCATCATAGGCGGCGATCTGCTTCTGAAGATTGGCGAGAAGTTGTAGTTGACCAGCGTTGTCCTGCTTGACTGCCTCGTGTGCATTTTTGAGTTCATCCAACTCAGCCCGAGCCGCAGAATGAGCCTGCTCCAGTTCGGCAACCTTGGCAGCGTTGCTGTTGATGATAGCTTTGTATTCATCAATCTCGTGGCGCAAAAAGCCGATGAGATTTTGTTGTCGCTGCTCAGACTCTGTGGTCGACTCATCATTATCGCCGTTTGACTGAGATTGGGATGATGAAAGTTGGACATGGTTCGATGCCACCTGGGCCTCAAGCTGTCCGATTGTGCCTCGCATCTGGAACTCTGTGTTTTCCATAGAATCGAGGGCTTCCTTATGCTTCTTCTCCCACATAGCAACTTCGGTTTGGAGCTCGGCGACGCGCTGCTCGTACTTGGGATCAAAGTTGTCGAGTTGTTGAGTGCCAGACTTAGTGCCAAGGGCTTGACGCAAAGCCTCAAGCTCAGTTGTGAGGGCGTGCTCGCGAGCCATGTGTGCGTTTCTGGTCTCGGTGAGTTGCCTCTCATTCTGCTCGAGCTGATCTCGTAGTGTGGCAACCATGGTCATCTCCACAGGGCTGGCCTTCAGACTTGAACGTTCTCTTGTCAAACCCGAGATAATGGTCATCTTAGTTTCCATCTCCTTCTTGGCGGCGGCGACGTCTGCTTCAAGCTCCTGGATTCGCTCGCTCCTCACATGGAGTTCATGTACAGCAGCGTTCAGGTTAATCTCAAAGCTCTGCATAGCCTCAGGGTGGGTACCAAAGTTCTCAGCAGCGATGTTGCGCAATGATGAAAATGAGCGCTGTGCACGATCAACAACAAGCAGGTTTTGGCTTGACTTGCGTCGAATGACAGGAGTGCTGGAACGAGGCGAGGTGGCTTCCATCACACGAGCGCGAGATAGGTCAGTCTTGAGCTCCTCGACGATATCAAGAGTCTCGTTATGCTTAGACTCAAGTTGAGCATATCTTTCAGCCAGTTCTTGTTCGGCAGCCTCACGCTCTTGTGCCATGAACTTGAGTCGTTCAAGTTCGGCAACAAGCTCGACGCTCTCGTCGTTGGGCAAATTCTCTGTTGAGGCCGCTGCAGGCTTAGTAGTAGCAGTTTCGTCATCAG